CACTATGCTACCAGAGCTCTCTAGCTTGCCTTTTAACATAATCTATGCTCTAAAATGCCTCCAGTCTCCCTAGAATCACTCCTGGAGTATGCCCAAATCCAGACTACAAACAAGCTATACCCACTGTCATCAAATTGATCCCAATTCATAGTGACCCTAGAGAACAGCAGAACTGACCCCTAGGGTTTCCAAGGCTGTAATTTATGGGAGCAGACTGCCACATCTTCCTCCTGTGGACTGGCTGGTGAGCTCAAACCACCAACCTTTTGGTTAGCAGCCAGTGCTTAACCCTTGTGCCACCAGGGCTCCTTAACAGGGCTATGGGTAAAAATTTTCTGAGTGGCTTTCTTTTTGTGGACTTGTAAAAGGCTTTTAAGACAGTTGGACAAATTCTAAATCCAAATTCACCTGTGCCCAATACTCACCTCCACACTTGAGGGTATCTCAATTGGCTTTGGCTTCACATCTATTAGGTAGAAAGTACGTGACAGAAGCAAAAGAGAAGGAGGGACATTCTCCTTCAGGTGGAGGTCCTGCCACTGGAGAATGGGAGGGGAATAAGACAGAACATTACAACTGGAAGAAACGCATAATCATCTACTGTTATGTGCCGTTGAGTCAAACCAGACTCATAGCGACCCCTCCTTAGGTTTCTGAGGCAGTATCACTATGGAAGTGGATTGCACAACCCTCCTTCCGAGGAGTAGCTGGTGGGTTTGAACCACTAGCCTTCTGGTTAACAGTCAAGTGCCTTAGGCACTACGCTACCAGAGCTCCCTAATCATCTACTACTTCCCTCGTTTTACAGTTTCCCAGGATTCATGCTAATAACTAATGTCAGAACAAGGATCAGAATACCAGCCTCCTGACTGCTGCATCAGTGGTTGTACCTTGCAGTCTCTCTCCCTATAGTGGGATCAGTCTCAGAGTTGGAAAGGGAGTATTCAGTTAAACTCCCAAACTCCATAGAACACAACAAATTCTGGATTTAAGTAGCTAAGAGTCTTCTCATCATAGACCGAAAAAACAGGAAATACAAAAGACTAAATCAGTCTCATTAATAACCAAAGAAATAAACATTAAAATGAGAATTCAATTTTAGTTTTCAACCTTCCAAAGAATATTTTAAAAAGAAAAAAAAATCAGTTATACATGCACAAGATGTAAAATTCAAAAATAAATAAAATGGCATTCAATAAAACCAGTCTGCCTTCTACCCTATTCCCTAGCTGTTTCCCACCCTAGACACAACCAGTTCCTTGTACCACTTCCTAATCTTTCATAGATATCCTACATTTTTACAAATATATGTTTACGTAGTTTTTGTCTTTACACAGAGTGATGTTGTTAGATGCCATTGAGTCGTCTCCAGCTCATAGTGACCATACGTATAACAGAACAAAACACTGCCTGGTCTTATGCCATTCTCACGATCTTTGTGAGATCTATGCTTGACCCCATCATTGCAGCTGCTGTGCCAATCCATCTTGTTGAGCATCTTCCCCTTTTTCGCTGAACCTCTATTTTACCAAGCATGATATCCTTCTCCAGGGAATGGTCCCTTCTGACCACATGACCAAAGTCTGGCCATTCTTGCTTCTAAGGAGTATTCCGGCTGCACTTCTTCCAGGACAGATTTGTTAGTTCTGGCTGTCCATGGTACTTTTTCAGTATTCTTCACTAACACCACAATTCAAAGGCATCAACAGTTCTTCAGTCTTCCTTATTCATTGTCCAGCTTTCACATGAATATGAGGTGATTAAAAATACCATGGCTTGGGTTAGGCATACCTTAGTCTTCAAAGAGACATCTTTGCTCTTTAACAACTTAAAGGGGTCTTTTGCAGCAGATTTTCCCAGTGCCAATACAACATCTGATTTCTTGACTGCTTCCATGGGTGTTGATTATGGATCTAAAAAACAAATGAAATCCTGACAATTTCAATCTTTTCATCATTTATTGTGATGTTGCTTATTGGCCCAGCTATGAGGATTTTTGTTTTCTTTATGTTGAGGTGTAATCCATATTGAAGATTGTAGTCTTTGATCTTCATCAATAAGTGCTACAAGTCTTCTTCACTTTCAGCAAGCAAGGTTGTGTCATCTGCATATAGCAGGTTGTTAATGAGTCTTCCTCTAATCCTGATGCTTTATTTTTCTTCATATAGTCTAGTTTCCTGGATTGGTTGCTCATCATACAGATTGAATTAAGTATGGTAAAAGGATACAACCCTGACACATACCTTTCCTGATTTTAAACCATTCAGTATCCCCTTGTTCTGTCTGAACAATAGCCTCTTGGTCTATGAGCACAATTGAGTGTTCTGGAATTCCTATTCTAAGCAATATTGTCAATAATTTGTTATGATCCACACAGTCAAATACCTTTGCATGGTCAATAAAACACAAGTAAACATCTTTCTGTAAATGCACTGTTTTGTTCTTTGCTTTTGTTCACTGAAATATGTATCTTGGAGGTTGATACATATCAATACATGTAGAGCTGCTTCCTTTTTAAATATTTTAAAGTTTAAACATTTGTAATGTTTAAATCATTAAAGAATTCCATTGTTGTTGTTGTTATGTGCCGTCGAGTCACACCCGACTCATAACGACCCCTCCTTGGGTTTCCGAGGCAGTATCACTACTGAAGTAGATTGCCCCATCTTCCTTCTGAGGAATGGCTGGTGGGTTTGAACCTCCAGCCTCCTGGTTAGCAGTCAAGTGCCTTAGGCACTACACTACCAGAGCTCCTAAGAATTCCATTGTATGGAAATATCGTAACTGGTGGTGCAATGGTTAAGCACTCAGCTGCTCACTGAAAGGCTGGCAGTCTGAACCCACCAACAACTCCAAGGGAGAAAAGACCTAGTGAGCTGCTCCTGTAAAGACCATAGTCTAGAAAACCCTATGGGACAGCGCTACTCTGTCCCGAATTGCTGCTGAGGCAGAATCAATTCAACATCACCCAACAACCACAAAGGTGAACTTTAAGTTGTTTTTAATCTTTGGCTATTATTATTAGTGCTGCAAGGAATAATCTTTTAGTCATTTTTATGTCATTTTGCACATGTGCAAGAATATAGGGTAACTTCCTAGAACTGAAATTGCTAGGCCAGAGTATATGAAACTTTAAATTTTGATAGATATAGCCAGATTGCTTTCCATGGATTTTTACTGCCAGTGCATTAAGAGCTCCTCTCCACCCATACTCTCACAAACACAGTATATTATCAAAGTTTTATTTGCCAACATTAATAGGTGAATGTGGCATCTCATAATTTTAATTCCTTTAAGTATGAATAAAGTTAAGATGTTTCATAAGTTTACCATTTTAAAATTTTCATTTCTATGAACTGTGTGCTCATATCCTAACACAGGATTTCTGGAATAATAATACATAGTGCTGGATAATATATGGTTGGATTAGTATCCTTACTTCCTCATAGTAGAATTGTAAAATGATACATCTTTCCAAGAAAGCAATTTAACAATGTAACAATGAATTCACTTAATACTTCATGTTTAAGAAAGAAATTATTTTAAGTACCTCTCTCTACAATATGTTCATCTTCCAATCTAGTATAAGAGGAAATAGCTACACGATACTGTTTCAAAGTCACAACAATGGCTTCTATTTAAAAATAATTTCTGTACACTTTATAGCACTTTTTACAATTATAGGTATCATGGATTAAACTGAATCCCCAAAAAATATGTATCAACTTGGTTAGGCATGATGCTCACTGATTTGGCAGTTATGTAAAAACGTAATTGGCGTATATGTAATGATGTAATCATTCCATATTATGTGAGCTGATGTGATCAGCCAACCAGTTGTAAAGGGATTAGGGTGGGATGAAACACCCTTAATCAGGTCATAGCCCTGATCCAATGTAAGGAGTTTTCCTGGGATATGGCCTGCATCACCTTTTATCTTATAAGAGATAATAGGAAAGAGAAGGGAGCAGAGAGAGAGGAACCTGACTATCACAAAGAAAGAAGAGCTGTAAGCGAAGCACCTCCTTTGGACTGTGCTGAGAACCTCCTAGACCCAGGCTAAGATTGATATCAAAACATATGGAGCTCTCCAAGGGATACCAGGCCCAAAGATGTTGAAAAGACACAAGTACCTTCCCCCAGACCCAACAGAGAGAAAAAACCTTCCCCTAGAGGTTTCTGAGGTGGTATCACTATGGAAGTAGATTCTCCAAACTTCTTTCAGAGGAGTGGCTGATGGGTTTGGACCGCCAGCCTTCTGGTTAGCAGTCAAGTGCCTTAGGCACTAAGCTACCAGAGCTCCTTCCCCTAGACCAGGCACCCTGAATTTGGACTCCTAGCTTCCTCAACTGTTAGAGAATAAATTTGTTAAATCCATCTACTTCTGGTATTTCTGTTATAGGAGCAGTAGATTACTACGACAATTGGAATGAGATTTTCTTTATTCTCTTTCATCCTGTCTCCCTGCCCTAGCTTCAGCCACCCCCCCAAGGGCATTAATTACCTGTGGTTGGGCCAGGAATGAGAATTTTAATAGGAGTTACTTCTTTGGTTTACAGCATTGGAGCTCTTAGATAAAACACAAATATGTAATCTGAGGGACAATATTAAACATCTGTTATAAGAGCTAACACCATATGAATTTGGGACAGCAAAAGCAATCCCAGGTGAGCCACCAGGGTGGGAAGGTTCAGACTTCAGATGAATTCACAGTTAACAGGCCTTGCATTACAGATTTTCTCGACTCTCACAGTATCTATAGCAGGCAGAATGCTAAGATGGTCCTAAGATTCTGGTGCCTAGTGCACATATACCTTCTCCCAATTATTCAATCAAATAGTAAT